ACTTAGATATAGGTATTGCACAAGGCTTTATCCTTGGCCCCCCTCCTTTTGTATTCTCATTGATGGGCTTCATGTAGTGCTGCTGTGCAGATGGTCCCAAACCCAGACTCTAGTCCAGCAGCTCCTGAGCTCTAGGTGATGTTCTGTCAAGTCCTCTAATTGAAACTTACCTCAAACTGACGTTGCCATCTCATTCCTCATGCCTACACCATCTTTTAATGGCATCACATTTCTGCCAGTCACCAAAGCATGAATTCAGTTTCCTTTGACACATTCCCTTTCCAACACACAGCCTGGGTAGGCAGTATTCCTCAGAAGGTGCTAAAGCTGCTGTAATAGAAGACCACCGAAGGTGTGGCTTAAGTAACATTTATTTTCTCACGGTTCTAGAGGCTGGAAGTCCAAGGTGTCAACAGGTTTGTGTCCTTGGAAGCCCCTCTCCTGTCATCTCCCTGTGTCCTCACATGGCTTTATTTTCTGTGCAAGTGCATCTCTGATGTCTTTTCCTCTTTTCGTAAGGGCGTCAGTTCTGTTGAATTAGGGTCCCACCCTCATGACCTCATTTAACCTTAGTTACTTCTTTACAGTTCCTGTCTCCAAGTACAGTCACACTGGGGATTAGGGCTTCAAGGTATGAATTGGAAGTTGGGGGCAAAAATCAGTCTGTAATAGAAGAGGGGAGTTCAAGGTTTGAAGTAGGAAAGCTATCCAGGCTGCTTAGTAGAAAATACTGAGCCAGGGTCATCAGTTCAGGGAGAGTATACAGCTGGCCCTTGTGGAGAAGCAGGCAGAATAAGTGAGTGGCTACAGAACTACAGCGTCCTTGCAACACCTGGACTAGGAGGAGCCCAAAGCACAGTTGTGTTCAAATTGAGCTGTGGCTCTGAAGACTTAACTGTGCACTTGCCACTCTGTGACAGGGGAGCTTTCATGACAGCAAAACCAGAATAAAAAAACTACATGCCAGGGGAGTAAGCCGTCATTAGGAAGAGTGGCAGGAGCCTGTGGGCCCTGACACTGACTGGGTGCTGCACACCTGTTGTTCCTCCTGGACACTTGTCATGGTGAGTGTAAAGAAGTGTTTGGGACATCTGTGTTGTCACAGCTGTTCTGTCTGAGATCATCTCTGCATGGAGAAATCTGAGGGAACAAGGCTGTAGAGTTACTACAATGTCACTTAGTCCTGTCTGGAGCTCCTCCACCTCCGTCACCTTCATTCTATTCTGACGGCTGCCATGTGCGTCAGGCCCTTTATCACGTGTGAGTAGGATTTTGAGAACAGCCCCTTACCTGGCCTCTGCAGTGTGTCTTTGCTTGAATCCAGCCTACCTGCCGTTCTTGGAACCCAACTCTGATCCTGTTACTCCTCTGCTTAAAAGCCTTGAGTGGTGCCCCTTTCTGCCAAGCTAAGGCCAGATCCCTTGGGCTGATATTAATGGCCTTTATAGTCTAATTTGTCACTCATGATTTCCCTTCTATTGGCTGTCCTTCAACCACATTGGGTTTTAGCTCTTCCTTGACTACACCCAAGCTTTTCCTCTTTCTCTCTCTTTCTCTCTCTCTCTCTCTCTTCCCTCTCCCTCCCTCTCCCTCTCCCTCCCTCCATCCCTCCTACTCCCCTCCCTCCCTTCCTCCTTCCCTCCTCTTTTCCCTCCTCTTTGTCTCTTTTGACAGTGTCTCACTCTGTCACCCGGGTTGGAGTGCAGTGGCACTGTCTCGGCTCATTGCAACCTCCGCTTCCTGGGTTGAAGTGATTTTCCTGCCTCGGCCTCCTCAGTAGCCGGGATTACAGCTGCCCACCACCACACCTGGCTAATTTTTGTACTTTTTTTGGTAGAGGCAGGGTTTTGCCATGTTGGCCAGGCTGATCTTGAACTCCTGACCTCAAGTGATCTGCCCACGTCTGCCTCCTCCTCCCAAAGTGTTGGGATTACAGGTGTGAGCCACCGCACCTGGCAAACTTTCCCACTTTCATAACATGGTGTCCACACTGTTCTGTGTCTAAAACGGTGTCGTCCTTCTGCACTTGTTGAAATGTCATCCATCTGTTGTTAAGGTTTAAATCAAGTCCTGCCTAATTTTTGAAGGTGTCCTTAATTTGTTTCATATTGTAGGTCTTACCTCATTTATACTCTGCTCACAATGATATTTTTCTTTCTTTCTTTCTTTTTTTTTTTTTTGAGATGGAGTCTTGCTCTGTCACCAGGCTAGAGTACAGTGATGCAATCTTGGCTCATTGCAACCTCCGACTCTCTGGTTCAAGCGATTCCCTTGCTCCAACCTCTCAAATAGCTGCGACTACAGGCATGTGCCACCACACCCGGCTAATTTTTGTATTTTTAGTAGAGATGGGGTTTCACCACGTTGGCCAGGATGGTCTAGATCTCTTGATCTCATGATCTGCCCTCCTTGGCCTCTCAAAGTGCTGGGATTACAGGTGTGAGCCACCGCACCTGGCCAGTTATTTTTGTTCTAAAACTTTTTCTTAACTCTATTCAACTATAAAGTCTCTTGAGAATAGGGGTGGTGTATAACTTTATCCTGTCAACCACTTGACAGTGTTTTGCATATAAGTGAGGGGCAGATGCCTGTGGCATGAACAAATGAAATCAGGTTTGGGTAGTATATCTTCTTGATGCTGAAGTGGAAAATAGAAGGAACTATGTTCATGATCCCAAACAGATTTCACCTGCCCCAGCATGCTAACTGAAGAAGCTAATTGTTTGGGAAAGGGAAGAGATTGGTAGGGAGCAAAGAACTGTGGAGTAAATCTGGCAACCATCACTTTTTCTCCAGGGTTCACAGGATGACGGGTAGGGCCTCAGTCCTGGGTAGATTCTGCCCATAGGGTTGGAGGGGGATGAGGAACGGCCTCAGCTTTTAAGGTGTTTAGGTTTGGGAGGTTGGGAGCAATCCCCTAGACTTAATTCATAGCATAAAGAGCCCATGCGAACTGTGAAAGGTTGTTCTATCTGCTTGGTTCTATGCTCACCCAACTCAGAGCTAGAACTTGGGGAGGGAGGCACAAGGAACAGATTGCAGGTTGCGACACGCTCCTATCCTGCTGGCTGGGGCACTGATTGTGGGCACACAGGATCCCGAGGACTGCACGGTGTGACCAAGAGCTTCTCCTAATCAGGCTGCCACCTTGGCGTCGCAGGTTGGATAAAGGTGAGCCCAGGGTGGCTGTGATTAGTTCACTCAATCTCGACATTCCTCTGTGACCCATGAGGGAGGGAGTTATCCTGAGGCTGAGGGGAGACGGGAGGAGTCAGAGACAGCCTTGGGTGATTTTTAAGCTCTAGTTCCTTTGCTCTGGTTTACGTCTTTTGTTCTGCATTAGACCTGAGGTGGGGCCTAAGCATCGATTTTTCTAAATCTCTACAGGTGATTCTGAGGGGCAGCTAGGATTGAGAATCAAACTTGTAAGGTGATTGTGAGCATTAAATGAGATAATGTGCCGTAGAGAGTTTTCAAATGACATGATTTATTATTGCTAGCATCACCTGACACGGTCTACAGAGTTACACAATGTAAGCTAAATTTTTCTGCTCACTCAGATTAGACAGCTGAAGCCTTTGGGCATGGGTGGACAACTAGGACTGAGGAAATGAAGGAAGATCTTGTTATTCTGCTGACTTCACTCCTCAAGGAGTTGCCATTTATTTTCCTTCTTCAGAAGAAGAATTTACTTACCCCATGGCCCATGTTTTGTCTGGTCTCTAGCAGCTCCAGAATTGCTTTTCTTTTCTTTTTCTTTTTTCTTGAGACGGAGTCTCACTCTATCACCAGGCTGGAGTGCAGTGGCACGATCTCAGCTCACTGCAAGCTCCGCCTCCCAGGTTCAAGCGATTCTCCTGCCTCATGCGCCACCACACCCAGCTAATTTTTTTTTTTTTTCAATTTTAATAGAGACAGGGTTTCACCATGTTGACCAAGATGGTTTTGATCTCCTGACCTCATGATCCGCTTGCCTTGGCTCCCAAAGTGCTAGAATTACAGGCGTGAGCCACTGTGCCCAGCCCAGAATTCCTTGTCTTTCTTCCTTCCTTTTTTTTTTTTTTTTTTTTTTGAGATGGAGTCTCACTCTGTCACCCAGGCTGGAGTGCACTGGCACGATTTCGGCTCACTGCAACCTCTGGCTCCCAGGTTCAAGCGGTTCCCCTGCCCCAGCCTCCCGAGTAGTTGGGATTACAGGTGTGCACCACCATGCCCAGCTAATTTTTGTATTTGTAGTAGAGATGGGGTTTCACCATGTTTGCCAGGCTGGTCTCTAACTCCGGACCTCAGGTGATCCACCCACCTTGGCCTCCTTAAGTGCTGGGATTGCAGGTGTGAGCCACCACGCCCAGCTCAGAATTCCTTTTCAAAATAACACCTGGAAGCTTATAGGAGTTACATGAAGAGTGCTCAGGAACAGCTCCCAGGTCAGATTTCCAGCTTTCTGTGCAGAGGAGTTGGTGAGGGTGGTGCTAAGGATCTCATATATCAATTCTGTTGATGGCTGTCTGGGGACTGAGAGCCCTTGGCCTGCCTTGGGCTTGGAAGAAGTCACCTAGGTCCCACCAGCTATTTCTTTCCTATGGAAAATAGACCAGTGGCTTTAGTTCTTTCTAGTCTGCCACATCCGGAGGTCATACCACCCTCCTTTTCATGGTCATTACCAAGCCTTCCTAACTTCTAAAAGCTATCTAATGTTTCTTCTTGACTGTGGCCACATTATTCTCTTCCCTGGCAGCAATAATCTAATCATTTGGGAAAAAAGCAAAGTTAATGGTATAATTAGCTTTTTCATCAATAAAATTGGTGGAAAAAAAATCTCACTGGCTCTCACCCCCGAGTGGTTCCTGTCTGCCAGCCAGCACTTCGTTCTCGTTCCCACAGACAAACAACTTTGTTGTCAACTATTGATTTTCCCCCCAGAGCTCAGGAATGGTTCTAGCTTTCTTTCATCTCCAGTTTTTTTTTTTTTTTTTTTTTTTTTTTTTTTTTTTAGACAGGGTCTCATTCTCTTGCCCAGGCTGGAGTGGAGTGTGGTGGTGTGATCTCGGCTCACAGCAACCTCTGCCTCCAGGTTCAAGCCATCCTCCCACCTAAGCCTCCCAAGTAGCTGGGACTAAAGGTGTGTACCACCATGTATTTTGGCTGTTTGACCTGGGGAACAAAGCCTGCTGGATTTAATGGACTCCAGCTTCAGATGATTGCTGCTAATGATAGTCGAGAAATCCATAGGCCTTCACTTCTTCTGTGTCTATCCACCAGAGGGGTCTGATCTCCAGATTTTCTCAGGAGGCAGAAGATGAGGTGGGGTTGAAGAAGTAGGAAAGAGTATCCTTAAATACAAAGATCCTTCCTAATTCGGCCCTGTGTTCCAGAGGCCCAGGCATCCTTATCATGGAGCAATGACAGAGTCTTGCGAAAGAGACATACCCCAGCTCTGAATTAGGGGCCAGAGTAACACCAGGATATGGCCTAGACAGAACCAGGCCTGGAGGTGGACCAGAGCCCAGCTCTCTTGGCTCCTAGATGAATCCTCTTTTTGCAAGATGGCAAAGGAAACAAATAGTTTTAGGGTCCCATGTAAGACCAGGCTTTTGAGGTTTGGGTCTGCTTTCCCCATTGGTGCAGCTGGGGGTGTAAATATTTAATCAGTCTGGCCTGGGTACATGCAGATCGATGGACACAGCGTCAATCCATTAATGGCTGTGTGGTGGGGAGCACATAGTGGCAGGAGGCAGTCGGGGGCTTGCAGCAGTAGCTGTTTCCCCACCAGTATGGTAGCATTTCCCTATTGGTATAAAGTGGCTTTGATTTTCTGGCTTCAAACAGCCAAAAAAGAAACTGACCCTGAATGCTTGAGGCTTCAGAGCCATAGGTGCAGATCTGAGCGATCACCATCTGGCTGTTTGAAAACTCCAAACAAAAATGTCAACTTGAGATTCTGCCAAGAAACAGTGATTTGTGTTTCCTTGTGTGTCAGGCTCACAGGTCTCCAGTGAGCCATAGGAAAACCTTTGTCTCTTCCCCTCTCTCCAAACACAGGGCTGGTTCTCCTAGTGAGGAGGTTTCACTTTCTATCCTTGGCCTACAAACAAAGAGATTAAGAGTTTGTGGTTGACTCTGCAGAGCGTGAGATTGCTGAATCTTGGGTGTGAGTGCCTTAGAAATAAGCATTCACATGCTGATCACGAACAGCCTCATCTCTTGATGAAAACATAATATCTGTTGTCCTTATTCGGATTGTAAGGACATATTTTAAATTGTGTAGGATTTGAATGAGGTTCTCCAATAATTACCCTCAAGTTTAAGAGGGCTTCGCATGTTTTGTTTGACATTCTATTTTCTTCACAGCAAGTATCATTATCTGAAATGATCTTATTCATTTATGTAATTATTGTCTGGTCCTCCCCGTAAAGGACATTGAGACCTCGTCTTTCTTTTCTGATTCTTTTTCTTTTGAGGTCTTTTGGCCCTATGAAATGGAAAGGTGTAGGGATCTACAGGTGAGCTTGGACGTAGATGTGAAATCAAGCTGAAACTAAACTGATGCTCGCAGGTTGGGATCAGCAGAAAGAGGAGTGAAAGGTGAGGGAGCTGGAATGGGCCACAAACAAGTGCCTGGATGTGACTCAACTCTGGTGATGCCATATTTTCTCCTTTCATCCCAGAGTGGTGTTTTCCTGGCAGCTGGTCATGGCTTTTGATAAGGCAGAGCTGCCTAGCTCTCCCAAGGGGCTGGTGTTGACCACTGGTGAGTGTGGCTTCGCTGTTTTCTTGCCTTGATGCTCGATGGGGAGTCTATTTGTTTGTTTCTTTCATGGCTGCTTAGTCACTTGTGCCACTGGCAGCATGGGCTTCCGACTTTGCGGAGACCGCATGAGAGGCCTGGTATTGGGCAGTCGAGGGCTTTCTGTCCGATTTGTACTGTACGTCTCCGTGGGCATGGTCAGGGATGGCTATCTTCAATCACCACGGCCTGGCTTCTAGGGTGCATGGAGTACTTTGTGGCCTATTCTCCACCCTCCCCCATATCCTGTATGGTCATCTGTTCTTGTCCCTCCAGGAGGGAAGGGATAGGTGGTTTATTCTGATTTGTAGGTAGGGAACTGTGACGAGAGGAACTTGAGGGCTTGCCCTGCAGGTGGTGTGAAGAGCGGACTCCAGGGCTCTCTCGCGAGCCTTCTGCCTTCTGTATCAGCCTGTTGCTGTTCTGGCCCCTGTTCTTATTCTCCTATAAAAGAAAAAGCTTTCAGCCAGCAGGTGTCGGCGGCACTGGCAGAAGTCTTTCCCTTAATCATAACTGGGTGTTGGAACCCCAGCTGTGGTTTTACACTTGTCCTGTCTTCCTCCTATGGCTCAGGACCTTGCCCCTGCAATGGGGCAACAGGAGGGGCAGGATGAATAGAAATAGAAGCTGCTTCAGGCCAGGCATGTGGCTCGTGTCTGTAATTCCAGCACTTTGGGAGCCTGAAGCATGACGATCGCTGGAGCCCAGGAGTTTGAGACCAGCCTGGGCAAAAAAGGGAGACACTGTCAAAAAAAAAATTAGTTAGCAGGGCATAGTGGTATGCGCCTGTAGCTCCAGCTATTCAGGAGGCTGAGGTGGGAGGATCGCCTAAGCCCAGGAGTTCGAGGCTGCAGTGAGCGGCGATTGCGCCACTGCACTCCAGCCTGGGTGACAAAGCGTTTGGGAGGGAGAGTCCCGACCTAGCCACAGGAATCCCTTTTCTATGGGGCATCTCTGCTCTGCTCTGGCTAGAGACTTCAGGGGCTGGAACAGTCTTTTCTAGTGCATCTTCAACATATTGGACAACCTCCAAGGCCTGGTGTCTCTGCTTTTTTTTTTTGAGACGGAGTCTCGCTCTGTAGCCCAGGCTGGAGTGCAGTGGCCGGATCGCAGCTCACTGCAAGCTCTGCCTCCCGGGTTCACGCCATTCTCCGGCCTCAGCCTCCCGAGTAGCTGGGACTACAGGCGCCCGCCACCTCGCCCGGCTAGTTTTTTGTATTTCTTAGTAGAGACGGGGTTTCACCGTGTTATCCAGGATGGTCTCGATCTCCTGACCTCGTGATCCACCCGTCTCGGCCTCCCAAAGTGCTGGGATTACAGGCTTGAGCCACCGCGCCCGGCCTTTTTTTTTTTTTTTTTTTTTTTTTGAGACAGAGTCTCAGTCTGTTGCCCAGGCTGGAGTGCAGTAGCATGATCTTGGCTCACTGCAATCTCCCCCTCCCAGGTTAAAGTGATTCTCCTGCCTCAGCCTCCTGAGTAGCTGGGACTACAGGCGCCCGCCACCATGCCCAGCTAATTTTTGTATTTTTAGTAGAGATGGGGTTTCACCATATTGGCCAGGCTGGTCTCAAACTGCTGACCTTGTGATCTGCCCGCCTTGGCCTCCCAAAGTGCTGGGATTATAGGAGTGAGCTACTGCGCCTGCCTTTTTTAATGGTTTAAGCTCTTCCTTGTCGTGTCCTACCTCACCAAGCTTCTACTAATCCTTCAGTTCTTGGAAGTGTCATTCCTTCAGGAAGGTTTCTTAATTCTTCCCATCCCGCTCCCTATTCCCAAGACCCTTTGTTATTTTCCCCCTTATCACTGCGTTCTTCCCCAGCATGACACTCACCACGTGTGGTTATGGGAATGTAACTATGTTCCCCAATAGGACAGGCAAGGTATGGGTCCGTCTTGTCTACAGATTTAGCCCTGATTCCTTGAACTTGAAAAGCTCTTCAAATGTTTGAATGAGAGTGGGCTTGTCATAAAGTTTTGGGTTTATATATTTGGACTTAATTTCTTTAGGTCAGAGGACAAAGAGGAGTTTGGTTGGAGATACTGAAATGGCAGCATCTGTATCCAGTACCCAGTAAAATATGTGGGTCTGAAACTCTAGTAAAAATGTTGTCCTTGGGGAAACAGATTTGGAAATCATTAGCAAGTTCTGGAAGGTGTCCTCCTGTGCCCCCAGCGTGTACCCAAGCAGTCTAGATTTGATGATTGGAAAATAGAATTATAGGAGATGGAGGATGGGGTTCTCACTCCAATTAGTTTCTCTTTTCCATGGATTTATTAATTTTTTTTCATCACAGAAATGACCTCCACCTTCAACCCCCGAGAATGTAAACTGTCCAAGCAAGAAGGGCAAAACTATGGCTTCTTCCTGCGAATTGAGAAGGACACCGAGGGCCACCTGGTCCGGGTGGTTGAGAAGGGTAGCCCAGCAGAGAAGGCTGGCCTTCAGGATGGAGACCGAGTTCTTAGGATCAATGGTGTCTTTGTGGACAAAGAAGAACATACGCAGGTGAATGAGACATTTGGGGCTCCTCTTCCAGGATCTCTTCAGCCCCAACACCATCTCTGCTGATTATAATTTTGGGGGTCGGTAGAGTTTGGTTCTTTTCTGGCTGCCACTGGCAAGGCAGGACACCTTTATTGCTGTACCTTATGTTGGCCAATCAAGTCCCCTATGAGGAACCAAGAACTGTACACATTACTCTTGGATTTGAATAGCATCAGGTCTAACATGAATTGCATGTTCACTACATACCAAAAATGGTGCTAGGCAATTTTATATTCATTATCTTGTTCAGTCCTCCTCATGACCTTGTGAGGTATATGTTACAATCTCACAGATGAGGAAGCTAAGTACAGATAACTTAGCTTGCTAACATGTTCATGCAGAGGATATATGGGAGAGTCTGGCCTTACCCTATTCTGCCTGACTCCAAAAGCATGCTCTTTTCCTTACACTGTGCTGTCGCCATGCACTCAGGAGGTACGGTTACAATCCAGGGCAGTGCTCCTCTCTAGAAAGGGGCAGTCCTTGTAAGAAGCCTCTGGGCTGGGGTTGGACCATGCTCTATATTCCAGCAGTGCCAGAAGCTCAGCCTAATCTGCACCTGGATCTCGGGAAGGCAGGGATGGAGGTGGCTGAGGAACTACCTGCTTCTACTTGGGTGTCAGGGGTCAACTAGCAGGATCTCCAGGGCCAGATATGGAGCCACATGGTCAGCATTTCCCTCTGGCAGTTGATAGAGGGTTATTAAAGTTATTTTTTCTTCTTCCCTCCTAGGTTGTGGATCTGGTCAGAAAGAGTGGGAATTCAGTGACTTTACTAGTTCTGGATGGGGATTCCTATGAGAAAGCAATGAAAACACAGGTGGACTTGAAAGAGTTGGGTCAAAGTCAGAAGGAGCAAGGTTTGAGTGATAATACACTTTCCCCTGTGATGAATGGAGGCGTGCAAACTTGGACCCAGCCCCGGCTCTGCTACCTCGTGAAGCAGGGAGGCAGCTATGGCTTCTCTCTGAAAACTGTCCAAGGTGAGAATTTTTGGGGGGAGTGGGGGGAGGCAGGGGCAGGGCACAGACAACAGGCTTCCAGAACAAAGATGCTATTGGTTAATGACTTTTCTTCTTTGACTTTTCAGTTGCTTTAGATAGCTTGCAACAGCTTTCCTCCCTCCCTCTCTCTCTCCCTCCCTCCCTGCCCTTTCCCTTGCCTTGCACAGTTGTGCAATTGGGGAGGGACACTGGACAGCAGTGGGGGTGGGGGGCACTGGGCACTCCTGTCCCTGAGTGTTTGTCAGGCTGACACTTGAGGACTCTTTGAGGTCAGGGGGTCAGAGCATTGATGCTTCTAGCCCTCTTAGGGTGAAAATGAAGAGGAGAATGAGGAATAAGAGGCAAGAAAAATGAGAGTCTTCATAATAGCTACTTTTGAGTAAGATTGGTATCTTTTTTAAATCTGGGTGCCCAGATAGTCATTCATTTATTCAACAAAATCTTAAGCACCTACTGATGTGCCAGGCACTGTTACCTTTGCTGAGAATACTGCAAAAATCTCCACCCTCCTGTAACATTTTGATAGTATCCTCAGCTGTGGCTCAGCCCCACCTGTTCTGAGGTGCATCTTTGAGCTCTGGCTAAGAGGTACAGAGTGATTTGAGAAACCCTGACCATCAGGAAGCACTAGAAGTTCTGTTTCTAGAATTTCAGAGGTGCAGACTAACCTGTGTTCAGTTGACCATGGCTCTGGGGGTATTGGTTGGAACCAGAGGGGCTGTGTTAGCTGGCCGGTTCCTTCTTGAACGTTGCCTCTGCCCACATTCTTTCTGGGGCTGGAGAAGCACTGGTGGTAGGTCATGATTTGGCAAGTGGTACAGCAGCAGACCAGTTGGTAAATTCACAATAGTTTATAAGGCTTATTTAACCTGTACCAAGAGATGGAAACTCGCGATAAGGGGCATTTCTCAGGTTGGTCAGCTATTAAACACAGTGGTGTGGGTAGTCAAAGGAAGCTTGGCATGTCTTCGAAGCCTATTATCAGTAAAGTGGTAAAAAAAGAGAAAATCATAATTCAGATTCTACTCATCTGGCTCATGTGCTAACGCACATGGTGAACAGTTTAGGTTAGCTTTATGAGGAAAATGGTTTCTTCATGACAAATATATAACAAGGTGGCAGGAGAAATGCTGAATGTTTAAGGAAGCAGAATTTAAGTTACTGTCATTCCTTACAAGTGATTTATGTAGTCATTACCAAGCGATCCCTTGCCTAGGTTGAAATACAGGAGTTCCCCCTTATCCTGTTTTGCTTTCCATAGTTTCAGTTATCTTACCTGCAGGCAACTGTGGTCTGAAAATATTAAATGGAGAATTCCATACATAATAGTTGCATTGTGAACCATTATGAGTAGGGTAATGAAATCTTGTGCTGTCCTGCCCCATCTTGGAGATGAATCCTCTGTTTGTCTAGCACCTCCGTGTGGTAGGTGCTTACTTGCCTGTTAGTCTTACTACTTACTACTCACTACTCAGTTATCAGGTCAACTGTTGCGGTATTAAAGTACTGTGTTCAAATAATCCTTATTTTGCTTAATAATGGCCCAGCACAGAAAGAAAAATATCACATGTTCTCATAAGTGGGAGCTAAAAAAGGTGAATCTCACGGAGGTAGAGAGTAGAATGAGAGATACCAGAGGCTGGGAAGAGGGTATGTGGGGTAGGGCAGGCATGAAGAAAGCTAGGTTAATGGGTACAAACACAAAGAGAGAATAAGTTCTAACGTTTGATAGCAAAGTGGGGTGACTATAGTTAACAACAATGTATTGCACATTTCAAAATAGTTGTAAGAAGATTTGAAATATTCTCAACACAAAGAAATGATAAATGTTCAAGGATGGATGTCCTAAATATCATACCATTATTTGTTCATTATATGCTCTTGGTATCAAAACATGACACACACCCTACAAATATGTACAAATGTTATGTATCAATAAAAAATAATAGCCCAGGCCGGGCGCGGTGGCTCACGCCTGTAATCCCAGCACTTTGGGAGGCCGAGGTGGGCGGATCACGAGATCAGGAGATGGAGACCATCCTGGCTAACACGGTGAAACCCTGTCTCTACTAAAAACACAAAAAATTAGCTGGGCACGGTGGCGGGCGCCTGTAGTCCCGGTTACTTGGAGGCTGAGGCAGGAGAATGGCGTGAACCCGGGAGGCGGAGCTTGCAGTGAGCCAAGATTGTGCCACTGCTCTCCAGCCTGGGTGACAAAGTGTGACTCTGTCTCCAAAAAAAAAAAAAAAAAAGCCCAAAATGCAACAGTTGTGATGCTGGCAGTTCAGATATGACAAAGAGAAGCTGTAATGTGGCCAGGCGTAGTGGCTCATGCCTGTAATACTAGCACTTTGAGAGTCTGAGGCGGACAGATCACCTGAGGTTAGGAGTCAGGAGTTCGAGACCAACCTGGCCAACATAGCAAAACCCCATCTCTACTAAAAATACAAAAATTAGCCAGGTGCAGTGGCAGGCACCTGTAGTTCCAGCTACTTGAGAGACCGAGGCAGGACAATCGCTTAACCGGGGAAGCAGAGGTTGCAGTGAGCCAAGATTGTGCCCCTGGACTCCAGACTAGGTGACAGAACGAGACCCCATCTGTTAAAAAAAAAAAAAAAAAAAAAGGCTGTAAAGTGCTCTTCTATTAAGTGAAAAGTTCTCGATTTAATAAGGAAAGAAAAAATATTGTATGCTGAGGTTGCTAAGATTAGCTCAGTTATTGCGAATCTCTTATTGTGCCTAATTTATAAGTTAAACTCTATCATAGGTACGTAAGCACAGGAAAAAAAACATACAGGTTTCGGAATACTATCTAAAGTTTCAGTCTCCCACTGGGGGTCTTGGAATGAATCCCCCATGGTTAAGGGGGAACTGCTCTATTAATATCTTTGAAGAATTGACAGCATTTCTGTAAGTAGCACCTAAATCTCACCACCTAAATGCGTTCATGTTCTTCCCTCCCTCCTGTGCCTGTCCTTGTTAGCCTACATTGTTGAGATGACTCCATCAGCATACGATGGCTAATATAATAGTACGAAATAAAGAGGAGGGAATGGGAAAGATGCTTTCTGATTCTACAAATGCAAAGAAAGGGCATATAGACACAATAATGCAGTGTGGGTATGGTTTCGCGCTTTCTGGTACAAGGGGCCAAGGCCACCCAAGATTCCATCTTTGCATTTAGCTGACCTCAGAAATTCTATTCAAATCAACAAATACCCACTGAGTAAAGGCTGTGTCAAGTTCTGTGCCAGGAGCTATAACTGTGATTTTAGATCAGAAGCCAAAGGCTGTTTGAGTTAGCTCTGAAATTGGAAGTTCTAGTTTCACATTATTGGGAGAAAAGTCTTTACCATTGGATTTCTGTTTTTTGTTTTTTGTTTTTGTGCAATGGAGTGTTCTATGAAAGGGTGGTGTATGCAAAGCAGTCCTTGAATGCTGAAGGAGCTCAGAAACCAAAGAACAAGGCAGGCAAATCCAGTTTGTAGGTACATTGGAATTTATCAGGGGAACTTATGAACAGAAGCATGGTCTTGGACAGCCACAAAACATGTAGATCTCTGCAGTGTTACTCCCCAGACCCAAGGCTGATATGCCATAGGGAAAGGGTATATATGCTCCAGCAAGGCAATCGAAGGCAGCCGTCTGCAATAGCCAAGAATGCTATATGCATCATGGCCTGTAATTTGTGTGGTAACATTAAGGTTGACATGTTCTTACACTAGGGACAGTAAATGAAGTAGGAATCAGGAGGCATTCACAGGACTGGGGCTAATCAGAAGTCAACATCGCAGATTACCATCCAAGAGGGAGTCACTTTTGTCTCCACATGGAGTTCACCCCTACTCTCTTCCAGGTAAAAAGGGGGTGTACATGACTGATATTACACCTCAAGGTGTGGCTATGAAAGCTGGAGTTCTGGCTGATGATCACTTGATTGAAGTGAATGGAGAGAATGTAGAGGATGCCAGCCACGAGGAAGTGGTTGAAAAGGTATGCCCCAAAGGGTACTTTTCTTGCCCTATCTTCCACTCTATTCTCATTGGAGGTGACAGAAAGACAGGGGTGGTAGGGGACAGCATGAGTTTATGATGGAAAAAATATCCAGCTGAGTTGCCCCTTCATATTAAGGGTGAACAGACTCTCACTAGTGGTATAAGCAGTGTTAATACAGGTTTTGGAATAAAGCCTTCCCTAATTTCACATAAGGTCTACAAAACTATTAACCTTACCTTTTGGATCTTGTTTGTATCGGATTGGGAGCCCCCTCTGAACTGTCTGATTGAGACAGGGTCTCACTGTGTTACCCAGGCTGGAGTGTAGTGGCACCATCTCAGCTCATTGTAGTCTCGGCCTCCTGGGCTCAGATGATTCTTCCACCTCAGCTTCCTGAGTAGCTGGGATTACAGGTGTGCACCACTGCGCCTGGCTAATTTTTGTATTTTTTTTTTTTTTTTTTTGTAGAGACAGGGTCTCACTATGTTGGCCAGGCTGGTCTTGAACTCCTGAGCTCAAGTGATCTGCCCGCCTTGGCCTCCCAAAGTCTGGGATTATGGGCGTGTGTCACTGTGCCCTCTGAATTTACAATAAATTCACTGTTGAGCCGATAATACTGAAATGCTTTAATAGGAAGTGGGATATAACTGAGATTTTCCTTTGAGGTCATATGGAACCTTAAAAATTGACCAACCTTCTCTTCTCTTTGTAGAATGATTTTTTGACGTGGACTCTTACTTTCTTTTCTTTTCCAAACTCCTGTTCTAGCTTTTATCTAGGTACCTTTATGGGTTTTCTGAATTCTAGCTCCTACTTGGGCTCAGTTAGTACCTATGTGGGTGGGTCATATTTAAATAAGGGAAAACAACTCTAGAAGTGGAGATAGATACATATCAGTTAGCTGGCAGGACATAGTGTAACAGCTTAAACTCAGGCCTTCTATCCCCTATCTTTTGTTGAACCTAGAGACTGTGTGCCTTTATACAGAAACGTTCTTATCCCCCAGCATTGTTCTTGGGGGTTGATATTGTTCCTCATCTGTGTGTGTTGTTACAGGTGAAGAAGTCAGGAAGCCGTGTCATGTTCCTGCTGGTGGACAAAGAAACTGACAAGCATCACCTTGAGCAGAAGATACAATTCAAAAGAGAAACGGCTAGTTTCAAACTGTTACCCCACCAGCCCCGAATTGTGGAGATGAAGAAAGGAAGCAATGGTTATGGTTTCTATCTGAGGGCAGGCTCAGAACAGAAAGGTAAGGTACAACAGCAGGAAACTTGGCAGTGTAACCAACAAATTCCTCATCCCAGTCTGACTCCAGAGTTCCATTAGACTCCCAACTTCCAACCAGATGCATGAGGGACACAGCAAGAAACTAGAAGGCACAGCTGGGTCAGAGTCTATGTCACATGAGGCTCTGATATTGGGCATCAAAAGTTTCCATAGCATTATGATAAGGCAGAATTTGGGATCTGGGCAATGGTATCCTGGTAAGCTGGCTCTCTGGCGGGGGGCGGGGGTGGTGGTGGAATACAAATTGGTAGCATTTGTTGGTTTTTGTGATGTAAATACTCCTCCCATGTCCAATTTCAACTTACTAACAAGATGTCACTGAACACAACGAAGTGTTGCACAGAATTGGCTTTTGTGAGCCAGTATAGCACACCGCTGGACCTGAGGCCGAGGTGTGGGTGAGGATCTGGGACTCAGAATCAGGAGTCCTCCTTCTTTGCAACTCAACAGGGAGAACACTAGGTTCTTTCAGGGAAGGTAAATACATAAAAGAACATGAGTTCAGGCCGTATAAACTGTTACTCACCCATAAGTTGTTATTTTCTTTTCACTTTATGTTTACATTAATTTATCAAATATTAATTTGGTTTGTGTTTTGTAAAAACATCCTCAGTGCCTTGGAGAAAGAATATCATATGAATCAGACAGGAATTCTTTAGTCAAGGAGTCTACCATTTAGTAGATAAGAGATAAGGGACTTATGTCCACAATGAAGGGAGATAGAGGTTAAGTACCTTCATACAGGGGCAGATTAAGCGCTGTGATAATTCAAGGTTAGAGTAAGCTTTTCTCACTAAAAAGGTACCAGAAGCCCTCATAGCAGGGGTGGCCCTTGAGTTCAGGCTTTGTAACATGAATAGATTTGGGAAAGTAGGCAGGGCTGGGACAAGGAAGATCATTCCAGGAAGGGGGGAGTCATGTGAACACTGTCAGGAGACATGGGCACAGTTTAGTTGGCACATGATGCGTGGTGCAAGAATTCGTTGGAAGGGTAGGCTGGAGAGAGGTGACAAGGGAACTTCTATGCAAGATTGACGAGTTTGGACTTGGCTCATTAGATGATGGGGAGTTATTTTTTGAGCAGTATAAGGGAGAAGAAAAAAACAGCCTATAATGTCTTGGGGGCTTTGCACGTCTCAATTACTCCGAACAATTATGCGGGAAGAACTGCTGAAATTGAGGGCTTGGAGAAGATACAGTAATTATGTAAGGTCAAATAGTTGTTTAGTTCCAAAGCCCATGCTCATTCTGTTGCACCAGGGAGTGACGTGGTTAAGAATGTGCATCAAGATGGATCTGAAGGCCGATCTGTATTGATTGGGGAAGGGAGAGCAGTAGGAAGGTGCTGTCATAGTTTACATAGAATTCTAGGCAGGAACTAACACAAACTGCATTCAGGGTGGAGGAAGTGGGATGTGTAAGATATTAAGGTAGCATGAGAGGACTTAGCAATCATCTAGATATGGGGACTGGATGCTGGGGAAGAATCAGTTGCCAAGTGTTGGTGGCTAGGAGGATGTTGCTCCACTAACAGGTAACCAAGAGGAGGGGCTTTGGGGTGGAGAATGGGCAGAGCTGATTTTTGGTTTGAATACATTACAGTTGAGAGATCTATGAGATATTTTGTTGGAGATACCCAGCAACTAGCTGGAAAAGGGAAACAGGAGCTTGTTTAAAAAAAAAAAAAAAAAAAGCTCTGGCAGCATCTGGTAAAGATACCAGAAGGCCAAAGGCACATGGAGGCATGTATATACAAATACATTCAAACTGAATACACCCAATTGCTACTAAAATGCCAGCATGGGTTTCTTAAGGTCCAAAGTTTTAGGTTTTGTTCTTTATTCTTTCCCGTCCTTTAATGACAGCTTTTACATAAGAAGAATGGCTACAAGTACGCCCACTGACTTCCTGGGAACTTACAGTCTTTTAATATGCTATTGTGCCAAAATTGAATATCAGGCACTTTTAGTAACATGATTATTTCCATTAAGACCCCTTCATTGTTAATGGCTGGGTTAATTTCTGGAGCGAGTTCTGAGCAGGAAATGAGCCTAGATAGTGTGCTTATAAACTTCCTGGGATGGCTGGTGGAAGGGACTATAGTTGTACTCAGCATGCTTTTTACATCTATTTCATCAGGGCTTTAGGCTCCAGCAGAAAATCTTTTTTTTTTTTAAGGGACTTACTGATAATTTTATTTTTTGGGGTTGGGGGAGGACAGGTCAAATCATCAAGGACATAGATTCTGGAAGTCCAGCAGAGGAGGCTGGCTTGAAGAACAATGATCTGGTAGTTGCTGTCAATGGCGAATCTGTGGAAACCCTGGATCATGACAGTGTGGTGGAAATGATTAGAAAGGGTGGAGATCAGACTTCACTGTTGGTGGTAGACAAAGAGACGGACAACATGTACAGACTGGTAAGTAATACAAGGCCATATATTCATGCATTAAGGCTGGGCCCATTCCCTCATGCCCTCAACCTTTGCACTGAGTTAGGACTTTGTTCCTTAAACTGGAAGAGGCCTAACAATCATCATTAAGGCTGAACTGAAGCTCAACTTAAATTGGTAGTGATAAGAGAATGCCAAATGATTGATAAATGGGTTTTAAGTCCTTGGTCTTAAGATTTTGAAACAACTTGTGAATATAACTGCAGACTTACTCTTGGTGATCTGAGAAAATCTATGGAGAATATAAGCCTGGAAATAAAATTGTTCCCCAAATAGGGAACAATTAGATTTTAAGCTTTAGGTCAGTTAAGTTCTATCAACTGCACATAAAAGCCTAGAAAGGATTTTTTTTTTTTTTTTTTTTAACGATTCGCTTGTCCAGGATGATGCAGTCACGTCCCCCCCCCCCCCCCCCCCCCCCCCCCCATAGCGGACACAGCCCCCCCCCCCCTAGTTTTTATTTTTTAAGCGGGTTTCACGGTCTGATTCTGATTGTATCCGCCTCGCCCAAGTCATAACGAAGGCCCTAGAAAGGATTATTAAACAACTTGTAAACCCTTAGCAAATCAAAGAGAAACACAGATAGACCAAGACCAAGCTGAATCAAACTAACTTTTCTCTTAACAGCTCTTTATCGTAACATCTACTACTGCATGTTTTAAGGTTTTATTTTATTTTAACACTTTTAACACAAGAACTGAGGTTCAGTCTAGTTTAACAGATACCTGGGGGGCCTTCTAAGTACCATCTGTCTTGCTAAGTGCTGATCGTAAAGATGAACAAGATAAATGTTCTCTGTGATATACAATGATAGTAGAATCTAAAATAAGTGGTACAGAGGGGGGAATATATGATGGGTGGTGATATATTAGGCCTTCATCATAGATTAGGAAACTGAAGCTTAGAGAGACTAAGTGCTTTGCTAAAGTCACGCAGCTTAGTAAAGACTGAAGCCGGTATTTGAACCCAAATTCTTGGATCTGTAATCCATTATACCATACTCCTCCTCAGCACATTTTCATGAGGTATTTCAAGATAATCTTGTAAGCAGGATTAAACAATGAATTGGATTAATGGCTTTTTTTAACTACTTGAACAATCATACCTAGAAAATACTTGATATCAACCTGAATATCAACTTGAATAGAATTCTCTAATGGCATGCTACTTGTTCCTAACCGTTTGTGTTTAAAGTTGAAAGGAGATATGGAAAATATATTAACATACTTAGAGTGGTACTAGATAATTCATTTGCTGAAGAGTGTAATTAATACTCAAAATATTTAGTCAGGATAGAAAGAATAAAAACTAAAGAAATAAGAATAAATTTCAGGTGTACTATGCTAACCTAAAAGTAAATTGTATGAATACCACATGGTGAGACCTGATTGAGGACTACAGAAAAAGATCAGAAACTTGATACTCCAAGTAGTTGCCCCATCCAAAAATGGCAATTTAAAAATTAACTGACACTTGGCTTCTAGAGATGACCATCTTACCGTACTTACTTGGTCAGACCATACTTGAATTCCTGGTGTGCTTCAGTTTCCTTAGTTTTAAGAGAGGGGTAGTAGCTACAGTGAAGGGTGGCTATGAGGGTTGAATTGGAATATTTAGAGTATGTAGAATAATGCCTCACACGTCTAAATGTTCTATTTGTTAAATCAATATTGTATCCGGTTTCAAGAACCTCACTTTAAGAAGTGTATATGCCAGGGACTGCTAGAGGGTTGTGTTTTATTCACTCATGTATCTCAAAGATCCACCCTGTACCCCAACCTACAGGGCTTACTTTGGAGAGGGGGGAAGGAAAGAATGAGGGCAGGCCTCTTTTTAGATCAAAGTTCTCTATTAACAAGGTTAACCAGGGAAGAGGTTTTGGAAGCCACCATGTGAGTATTTAGCTTGAGTCAGGCTTTGGAGACGAAAGCATCTTCAAGAAATTGAAAGGCTATAACGTAAAGGAGCACCTTTTTTTTTTTTTTGAGACGGAGTCTTGCTCTGTCACCAGGCTGGAGTGCAGTGGCGCCATCTCGGCTCACTGCAATCTCTTCCTCCTGGGTTCAAGCGATTCCCCTGCCTCAGCCTCCTGAGTAGCTGGAACTATAGGTGTGCACCACCACGCCCAGCTAATTTTTTGTATTTTAGTAGAGACGGGGTTTTACCATGTCGGCCAGGATGGTCTCGATCTCCTGACCTCATGATCCACCCGCCTCGGCCTCCCAAATTGCTGGGATTACAGGTATGAGCCAATGCGCCCGGCCTACACAGTTTTTTAAAGGTGTCCTATGGGGCAGAGCAGGACCAGAGAAGCCATAGTGAGCTCGCTTTTGGCTTAAGAACCAACTGAAGCTGCCAGGAATGATGAGTCACTTCGCAATTGGTAGAAAAAGTCAAGCAGAAATCAGAGGTGGCTCTGCAGCTGTTTGTTGTAAAGGGGATTCCGACCCCTCCTGATCTTATCACAGAATAATTTAATTGTAATTTTTCTGTTTTGGTTAATAGAGAACTTTGATCTAAAAAGAGGCCTGCCCTCATTCTCTCCTTCCCCCCTCTCCAAAGTAAAAAGTAAGCCCTGTAGGTTGGGGTACAGGGTGGATCTTTGAGATACATGAGTGAATAAAACACAACCCTCTAGCAGTCCCTGGCATATACTAGACACCCAATTATCTGAATGAAGCATGAATAAAATCTCAATATTTGTTTTTTGAGACAGTGTCTCTCGCTGTTGTCCAAGCTGGAGTGCAATGGTGTGTTCTTGGCTCACTGGAACCTCTGCCTCTTGCATTCAAGTGATTCTCCTGCGTCAGCCTCTCAAATAGCTGGGACTACAGGTGCCCGCTACCACACTTGGCTAATTTTTGTATTTTTAGTAGAGATGAGGGTTCACCATGTTGGCCAGGCTGGTCTCGAACTCCTGACCTCAAGTGATCTGCCCACCTCATACTCCCAAAGTGCTGGAATTTCAGGCATAAGCCACCAAGCCCGGCCAAAATCTCATTGTTTTGATGTTACTGTACTTTGCCTCGAGATGAGCTGCGACTGTCAGATGCAGTTGATTTGCTTGTTCAGGTAGTGTCATCACATGTTATTTTTGTATGTAATGAGTCACCTGATAATTTTCCATATTTTAAAGAGGGGAAAGACTCCATTGTGGAACTTGCAAGTATATGACTAAAAGGTCTGAAGTTAGTTGAACTGGGTAACTAGGAGGTTCCGTGCTGGTTGTATTCTCACTTACAAAGGAAGGAGATGTGGTCTTGTGGTAAGACAGATGATAACCAGAGGACTCAAAATCTAATTTTAGTCAGGCTGCTAACAGTGCGATTTGAAGTAGAGCCCACACTGTGCTCACCTTCCATTGCTTGATTTCCTACTCATCGCCTAACAAATGTTCCCGACACTTGTGGGCAGCCATTTTGCTGCTGATCCAGGATCACACCATACCCAGGTCCACTCTAATTGTCTCAACTAAAACAGCCAGTTAGGCTCATAATTCTATTACAAAAAATCAGTCCTGTTTCCTGTTCTATGCCTCTTCGGTATTCAAGACCATCATTTCTTCACATGGATGGCCTGGGAGTTGATATGAATTAGGAGTATTTAAAGATGTTGGAGAGTTTGGCATAACACAAGTGACAGCTAATGGTTACAACAATACATAGTAAAATAAGCACACAGATCCCAGGTCTGGAAGGGGAGGGTGTTGGCAAGCAGCAAAGGGTTGGAATTAACTTTTGTTACAATATGTGACCATATAATAGCTGTCACCCTCTCACCAATTATTACTGTATATATGGGTTGTTCTCTTCTAGTAGCTTTGAGTCTTCGGATAGTGATAAAAATAGTGTTATATTAACATTCTCCAGAGAGACAGATCTAGTAGGATATAAAGATACAGGCATGAGAGGAGATTAATTAGGGGAATTTGTGGAGGCTAAGAAGTCCCACAACAGGCTGTCTTCAAGCTTGAAACCCTGGGATGCCAGGAGTGCGGCTCCGTCCAAATCTGACTTACTGGCGTCACCCCTGTTTGGCATTCCTACTTGATTGCTTCTGTGCATTTGGCCTGAGAATCTGGGGCGCTGTGGCTGTAGATCTTAGAGTCCAAAGGCCAGAGAACCTGGAATTCTGATGTCCAAGCACAGGAGAGGAAGAGTGTATCCCAGCCCTAGCAGACAGACTGACACCTTTGCCTTTTCTGTAGTTCACTCGGACTCGCACACTAATCCCCTCTGGAACCACCCTCATGGACACACACCAAAATAATGCTTTACTGGGTTTCTAGGTATTCCTTAATCCAGTCAAGTTGGCACCTAAAATTAACTATCACAAGTGTCTTGTGTTTTACATTTTTCGAATGTGTTTAAGGAGCTCTGAAGATCATCTTACCGAAAGGAAAAGCCAGAAGAATGTACTTTGCATGAGGTACTGGGCTAGTCAGTCCGATGTGTCATTTCCCAACAGGGGAATTATGTATAGATTGTTCAGTGACTTGCTCACTATCATGAACTCAAAAGAAATTAGTAATTTTTTAGACATCTTTTTGGATCCTTGTACAGCATCCTATACTGCTTTTATGTTCATGTGTGCATTTGTGTACATGTATACACATATTACTCCACAACGAAGCGCAATCTTCTTTTATACCTTTCCTGGTTGGGGTAAGTAGAGAAATTTTACAGCCTACAATCAGACATATCCGGAAGAACAGTGGAATATGTATGATACCATAAAAATTAGCACATTTAACAAAGTATAACTTACTCATGGTTACAACTAAGTTAATGTTTTTTCCCTTTATTTTTCAAAAGGCTCATTTTTCTCCATTTCTCTACTATCAAAGTCAAGAACTGCCCAATGGCTCTGTCAAGGAGGCTCCAGCTCCTACTCCCGCTTCTCTGGAAGTCTCAAGTCCACCAGATACTACAGAGGAAGTAGATCATAAGCCTAAACTCTGCAGGCTGGCTAAAGGTGAAAATGGCTATGGCTTTCACTTAAATTCGATTCGGGGTCTGCCAGGCTCATTCATCAAAGAGGTATGGTAATCTGGTTCCAGCAGCCCAACAAACACAGCCACAATTAGGATAGTCTCAGCTTTTCCCGCCCATTGACGGCTTAGTAGAGAGGTTCCATTGAAGGCACACACTGAGGGGTCTCACCTGGGTTCAGATAAATGTTGTCATGGTCCCATACCCTTTAGGTTAGCTACCAGTACATCATAAGTTCACGAGTTTTTTGCTTCCCAAACATCTGTTCCAAACAGTGTGAGTTGACTGAACTCTAGCTGACAGTCACTATCAACCCTGATTGGCAGTCATACTTGTTTGCTTCTGTGCATTTGGCATAATGCCCCTTACCCTGTAGGGACTGATAAGACTCCCTATAGCTTTCCAGTTGGGAGTGAAGAAGGGGGACCTATTTATCCCCCTTCATCCCAGAAGACATGTGACACTGAATCACTAGTTATAATACCACTAATCATGTGAATATGGAAGTTACATCCTTCATAAATACAAAAGCATTAGAACACCTTTTTCAACTCTACACCTCAAGGAGAAATAATAACATGATTAAGAATAAATTCTTGAACTCCTCATCTGTCCTCTGAAGGAGAGCTAGTCTGACATCCCCTTCTCTGTGTTTGAAATTGATAACTCAGAACTTCTGTTCACAGGTACAGAAGGGCGGCCCTGCTGACTTGGCTGGGCTAGAGGATGAAGATATCATCATTGAAGTGAATGGGGTGAATGTGCTGGATGAACCCTATGAGAAGGTGGTGGATAGAATCCAGAGCAGTGGGAAGAATGTCACACTTCTAGTCTGTGGAAAGAAGGCCTATGATTATTTCCAAGCTAAGAAAATCCCTATTGTTTCCTCCCTGGCTGATCCACTTGACACCCCTCCAGATTCTAAAGAAGGAACAGTGGTGGAGTCAGGGCATGACTCGCACATGGCAAAAGAACGGGTGAGTGGGGGCCTATTTCTTTTCATGATCTAATTTACTGGAGTATGGGTATAGTCCCTATGAGTATATTTAATGTCTGTTTGCCACAGATTTTTTTAAAACTAGAAAATGACAATGTAAAGATAACTCACAAATCAAGTTGTTGTAGAGGACAGGCGGCAGTACAAGGACAACAAATTTCTTACTTTCACAGCATGCAGCTGACAGCAGTTGTCTAGAGCTAATAAATCAAGAGGTACAAAGTTTATCAGTATTGTAATGGGAACCCCCAGAAGAGCCTGAATTGGATGATCTATGTATGAATTCTGGTTCTGTCATTTGTCAGCTGCGGGGAAATGGATTTATTTGTTCTGTTCCTCAGTTTTCCCACCCATAAAACGGGGATAATTTGTAGGATTGTTATCAGGATTATGTTAACTAAGATTATATTAACTATATTAAAGTGCTTTGAATAGTGGCTGGCTCATAGTAAGCATGTAAATGGTGATGCTTATAGACAACATTGTTTAAAATAACTGACAGGTATTCCAGTTTTATTACTAGGAAAGATTAAGCATTCTCTATATATTTGGATTAAACTTCTTGGTAAGTCTCAGTTTCATATTTTTGCCCAATTTTTCATAGATGAACTTGAGGTCCAAAAGTAAACTGACTTATCCAAATTCATAAAGGAAATTTATAGCAAAGCCAAGACTCTAAAAAAGTTTAATTTGATGTTGTTGTTCTTTCCATTATATTCTGCTAATTGGTGAATACTCATTTTAATAAACTCAGTTTAATGAACACACACAATGCCCACTGATTCGTATTCTGGAATGCTTAATAAACACTATTTTAGTTGTCATTTAAAAATTCTATAATTTCTCTTTAGGAAGTCAATATCCTAGTCTTATAAAAAAGAAATATATACAGACATTAAGGAATTTGTTAATGTGTCAAACAGCAAGTTGAAAACGGTCAAGTGTAGAATTCAGGTCACCTGACTTCTAGTCATACCTAGATCATCTGATTCAGGCTCTTCTGGGGGTTCCCATTACAATACTGATAAACTTTTTACTTCTTGATTTATGAGCTCTAGACAATTGCTGTCAACTGCATGCTGTGAAAGTAAGAAATTCTAGTGAGTGACTCTACTCCCTGACTTAAGTCATGCAACTCTAGAATAGATCATCCCTTTTTCATTACTCTACCATTTGTAAATTCTTTGTTTTCTTTTACACAGGCCCACAGTACAGCCTCACATTCTTCTTCCAATTCTGAAGATACAGAGATGTGATGAAAGCAAGTAATAGCGTTGGCTGTTTATCTGATAGCTATTTCTGGGTATTTAATAGGAATCGTTTCTCAAGGAATGAGTTGCGACCAGTTTACTGTCTCTTTAGAAGAAAAACTCCACTGGAAACCATTCACCATGTGTGACTGGTCTTACGGGTGGCTACTGCAGACTGCTAATTTATGCTTAACTTAGGAAGAGATAAGGCAAGAGCTAGATTTTTTTCATGTGATCTCTTCCAAGCTTCAACTTAACTACATTCTCTGTATGATGTCTCTTACTTCTACAGGTTCCGTGAGCACCAAAGATGATTCATAACTCTGTATAGGTGAGAGCTGCTTAGTAAAGCATCTTAGCAGATAAGCCTATTAAAATTGTGCTTCTGTAACAATGTTGTAGTTGCTAGAATAAATACCATTAACAAATGCCTTCTGAGTACACTTGATAGAGCTTTTGTTTTGGATTCACTTTTTATGCTTTAACCTTCATTTGCTTCTAGAAACCCAAAACACATTAAGTACAAAATAAGACCTTAGTAATAAAATTCAGAATTTTCTTAAATTGCATGTCTGAATGTTCTAAAAATTTTTCAACATTTCCCTTTCACAAGTGACTCATTCCCCCAGTTAAGTTATTCCTGGTTTCACCCCACAGTGTGAGGGGCAGATAGAAAAAAAAAAAAAAGGAAACATCACTACTGAATTGAAAGTAGGGTATAATACTAAGTTGACAGGAAATCAAGAAAAAATGACATACCTGAAATCTCTCTTTTGGTAGAATCTATTTCAGGTGCACACTACCCCTTTCCCGGAAAAGAACAGATAACTTCTTGGTTATTTTAATGGGGTAGGCTCAGATGAGGAGGTGTGGGATGCTAACTCATGTCAGATCACACAAGCACAACACCAAGCTATGCTTGATGAAAGGAACCTAAGGCCAAAGTGTTACAATCTCTGATTTTAATGAGTCAATCTCAAGGGAAAGCTATAACCTTCTCCACGTGAACCTTAAAACGGAAATCCTATGTGTTTGGCCCAGCTACCATAGATATCTCTTGCCCCAGAGTTCCAGTGTATTTTTTCCCTTTAGTTTCTTGGCTCCTCTCCGCCTTTGCACCAGCCTCAAATCCACACGGGACGCTCTCTGCTGAGTACTGTCTTGAGTTACTTCTTCCTCTCATGTTCTGGCTGATGCTACTCATGGTCATAGTATCACCCCACCGGGAAACAGTATGCTATGAGGTGAAAAATGCTACCACAGCATTTTGTTGTTTATAAAACGTCAGGCCCTGGTTCCATTTTTTCCCCCTCTTAGATCTAAATTTTGAAACCACTGGCCTCTAATAGTCTGTAGTAGGCTTAAGTTCAAGGTGCCATATGCTTCTCTGGTGCCTGTTTGTGAGCCAAATAGAGGAAAAGTATGCTAGAGAGAGCGCTGACCAGGAAGATCACATCAAACCAACGGTGATAGAAGTTGAACTGCAGTTCTCCAAGGACTTCAGTGATGATGGTGCGGTATTCTAGAGGCATACTCATTCGGATCAGCAGCACAGAGGAGACAAAGTACATGCCCTGTAAGTCAAATGAATTAATCCAGAAGTGACTCTGAATGTAGTGAGGAACAGGACAAAGGAAATTATTAAAATTCTTAAAAGTATCAAGCACATTTCTGATATTTCACAGCTGTAAACATAAAGGTAACTCAATAAACTTACCATTATCTGTGCTAACAGCAGGACAATGACATTGGAGGACTTACTGCTAGAGATGGCATAAAAGAACTGTCAAGAAAGAGGGAGATAAATTTATGCAGTACTGTTAGATTCCTGTGTCATGAACAATAAGAAATATGGTTAACATTTGATTGAAAGTGTCTCTTCGATGCCACAATCCTGTATAGAACAATTCATATGATTAAGCCTATAAAGAAGAGACTTAAAATAGACTGCAGAAAAAGTTACAGTTTCCCCCGGAGGTAAGTTCTTTACATAACATATGAAAGGATTGCTATTGCTATCACACTTCAGAAACTATGTGACACATGTGACTTAACATCACTATAAACATTAAGTCAGATCACTCCAGCCCACTCAGAGTGTTTGTAATTGTTACTAGGCTCCTGTGCTCTGTCTAAAACTCTGCTAGATGCCTGCAGATCCCTTCCCATCCCAACCTCTTCTTTCATTCAAAAGCTCCTGGATTTTAAATCCCTACCTTTCCTACCAGAGAGGACTCACTTTCCACCTCCATGAAGTCTTCCTACATTGATCAGAAAATAGTTGAATTCAGTAGGTCCTTACTTAATGCCATTTATAGGATCTTGGAAACTGAGATTTTAAGTGAAATGACGTATAACAAAACTACATTTTTCTCATCAGCATTATAATGAAATGTTGAATGAAACATTTTTTTGAGGACTTGGTATATAGTTTTACTTAAAGCCGCTGTTTCCAAGAACTTATTGATGACATTGAGGACTTGCTATATTCTGTCCCCCTACTTCCATATCTTCTCTACAAGTGATTCTCACAATTATTCTTCCAGTCTCAAATATCTGCTGAATACCTGCCTACCATGTGCTAGGTTCTGTTCTAGATACTGATAACATACCAGTGAACAAAACAGAACCATATCTTTCTCTATTGCCTTTAGTGAATGTACTTATCTATAATTGGTATATGATGTAAATATATTGCCAACAATTTATGTAGTAGTTTAACTTTTTAAAAATTCGGTTGTATGTCTTTTAAATCCTTGGGACTGTTTAAAGTCTCAGGAGGCAGAATTCTTAATTAGGTAAAATTATCTCATGGTACCACTTTTTTTTTTTGAGACGGAGTCTTGCTGTGTCACCAGGCTGGAGTGCAGTGGTGTGATCTTGGCTCACTGCAATCCCCATCCCCCAAGTTCAAGTGATTCTCCTGTCTCAGCCGCCCAAGTAACTGGGACCACAGGCATGTGCCACCACACCCAGCTAATTTGTTGTATTTTTAGTAAAGATGGGGTTTCACCATGTTGGCCAGGATGGTCTCCATCTCCTGACCTCATGATCCGCCCACCTCAGCCTCCCAAAGTGTTGGAATTACGGGCATGAGCCACCACACCCAGCTGGTACCACATTTAATTAAACAAATGATAAGCAGTACTTTTTAACACTGTGATAAAACACACCTTGGTAAGAGTGATCAGCAGTCCTCTGATGGATGTAACGATGATTATTCCAACAAGAATGAAGGAAATGTGCTGGGACCAAAACTTCACCTGCCACCATGATAGGAAGAAAAAACAGCTGCTAAACCTCTGTTCAGAGAGATGTAAAGGCTAAGTAAAAGCTATATCCTGATAATTTACGTGACTGTGAGAGGGAACTTCATTAGACCCTACCTGATTTTTTTTTCTTGAGGGAGAGAGGAAAGCAAGTAAGTGGCAAATAAAACAACTACAGAAAGACTGCAGTAGATATCTTAATTAGCAGACTTAATTAAACCTTAAAATTAAAAAAAAATTTTTTTTTAGAGCCAGGGTCTTGCTATGTAGTTCAGGCTGGTCTCAAACTCCTGGGCTCAAGCAATACTCCCATATCAGCCTCCCAAAGTGTTGGTATTACAGGCATGAGTCACCATGCCTGGCAGCAAGTACCGAGGAGTGATAAAAATAACACTAATAAATCAGAAGAAACAGAACTAATGATACAGTTTTACTGTGATAAATGAAAAGCAGGAATTAAAAGGAAAGTAAATAATAGCTTGATTACTTTCAGTGTCTATGAATAATAGTTCCCTAACCACCAAAACTTCAAGGAATCTTTCTTTTTATAATAAAGGAATATATAGACATTCTCAGCTAAATTCTAGGAAATAGCTGAATTTCACTGGAACCACATGATACCTTTTTCTCCTCCTGCATTGCTTCATAGTGAGAAGGAGTTTTGGGACCCTGTGTTTGATTCAGTTCTGAAAAGTATCTGCAAGGGAGCTGCTATTACTAACATCTAAAAGATTTGTTATTCAGAATTACAAAATATGGCATAAACAGATGAATTGTAGATGGAATATACACATGACCATCTAAGTATCCTCAGAAAGTACAGAAAAGGAGAAGTATTGCTAAAAACTCAGCCCAGTAAAACACTTAAGAAAACACAAATGCAACAATAGCAAAGCATACTTTTTGTTGTTTTTTGAGACAGGGGTCTCACTCTATTGCCCAGAATAGAGTGCAGTGGCACTATCTCAGCTCACTGCAACTTCTGCCTCCCCGGTTCAAGTGATCCTCCTGCTTCAGCCTCCTGCGTAGCTGGGACTACCGGTGCATGCCACCATATCCAACCAATTTTTATATTTTTTCTAGAGATGGGGTTTCACCATGTTGCCCAGGCTAGTCTTGAACTCCTGGCCTCAAGTGATCTGTCTCGGCCTCTCAAAGTGCTGGGAATACAGATGTGAGCCACAGTAGTGCCTGGCCTGTAAAGCATACTTAATATAATTTATATACTACTTGAATAAAAGATACAGATACCATGCTCCTTCACACTCAAAGAGGATATACAATTGATCTAGCATCAAGAAACATGTACATTGAGCTGTTTCTCAAGGATTGGGGCTCAGTTTGCTCTGGTGCATTTTCATTTTATCCAAGTCCTTTTGAGATCAGGGGCATGTCTGGCTGGGATGGATGGCTGGGGGTAGCATGCAGTCTGTGGCTAGGTTGACAGCACAGCTAAATGGCCTATACTGGGACTATTATATGACATTGGTCTTACCATTAAAGTGCTATTCAGCCTGAGTCATTGGCTCTGGTTTATGAATAAATACACTGAACTTCAATTACGACAAGGGTGTATTTATGACAGTGGTATTGTGAAACAGTAAAAAGCCAATTATAAAAAAAACTTTGTACAGAAGTGACAGTTACCATCTTTAGCCCTAGGTCCACTAATTGATAAGATCATTTTTTTTTTTTTTGAGACGATCTTGCTCTCCCCAGCTGAGCAGGCCATCTCGCCCTCCCCCCCCTGGTACCCTCCCCTCAGCCTCCCGTCGACCACCCCCCCCCCGCTAGTTTTTTTTTGTTTTTATAAGACAGGTTCACTGTGTAGCCAGGTCCGATCCTGACCTTTACGCCCCTCAGCTCCCATCTATTAACTTGCACCCCTAAAGATCATTTCTAACAGCAGAAATCGTTTCAGCTCTAACACGGAACACTAATTAGTAGTTAATTTTCCACTGGGGCATCAAAGGTGAGTTGTACGTTTGAAGAGCTCATCAAGAATCACAGAGGGAAGTATTTGAATACTTTGGTGGGGAGAAAATGGTAAACTGGTAGCTGGCTATAGAGAAGCAGAGGAGCAGCTGTAGAAATAATCAGCATCCATGACAATATTAAGTATCAGTCATTACTTCTGGCTTTATGTTAAGACAGAGAATCTTGGCCTTTTACAAATTTTCCATGTGAATATATCAAAATATAAAAATTTTCCATATGAATACGTCAAAATATACAGAGGTGAATGGGAAGAACAAAAGCAGAAGCAAGTACCTAAAGCATACAAATTAGAATCTT